GTGTGTGTAGGCCTTGTTGCTATATATGAAATGAACATTTTGGGTTTTCCGAGCTAAGTGGGATTATACCGTAACAAACGAAGACAAACCAAAAAAGGACAGCTCGCTGCACGGGCTATTTTCATAACCGGTATCCACTTTTTAGACCAACGTTTTATTTATTTTTAGTTTGGTGCTTTTTTTTTTTTTTTTTTTTTTTTGTTTTTCTCCATCATACGTTTAAACCCATTGAAAAAATTTCCTTTTCAGTGTTACACAAATGGCTCGTACTGAAGGGTGTTAAGCTTTCCTTGGCATGATGCTTCTGTTTTGCCTTCTGTGTTTTGTGTGCGAAATGTTCCTTATTATGTGTCGACTTGTCATTTCGAAATTGAGGTAATGGACAAAATTATCTCCCTGTACGAAATGGCATATGTATACGATGTGTAGAAATGGGCTGTAAAAATGGGGCAAAAAAGGGGCGCCCTTTCTCTGCTTCCAATCGCACTTCTGCTCCTGATGAGTGGCTTTTTCTTTTTCTTTTTTTTTTTTCACGTATTAGCATCTGTACATAGTTGCACACTTATGCCTACTAGCGCTGCGCTCCACAGCTGTGCCGGTGCAAACGCTTCCAAAAGGAAGAAATGGAACAATGTAAAACATGGAACAACTATGCAGACAAATAAAAAAAAGGGCGTATGTACAAAAAGCATGCGGATGAGCACCCAAAGGTACACCACACTGTTGAAAGAAACTACAATGTTTCAATAAAACAAGCGAGGTTTCACTTAAAGGTGTATGCTCCAACTTATTCCTTTAAAGGCACTTGCACACCTGTACATGTACTCATATTTGCACCTAAGAAGATGCAGTTAAAATGGGAAGTTAGGAGGCGTCGGGAGAATCATGCAACGTGACAGATTTATACGTACGTACAAATGCGCTCTGCAAGGATTAACACGCCCTTCCTATCTGTGTGCGCTTCAAAACAAACTCATAATTACGTTTTTGTGGAGTCATCTGATGATGAAGAGGGAAGAATTACTTAAAAGGGAGCATTTCCTTTCATGTGGATTTTTCCCATTCATCATTAGACAACTGCGTACAGGTATGGCGATATATCCATGTGGATATGTATGTGCAAATACAACTCTTCTGTACAATGCGTTGGCAAAAATATAATTTCTTCAAACAAACAAAAAAAAAAATAGGTTGAAATAATACTATGTGTAAAACACTTGATTATTCCTCACAGGGAAGGGAGAAGCAGGGTGCGCTGCTCTCTGCAGAACTTGTCTCTCACGCTTTGAATATGCACTTAAACGGTTAGCCCCTTCTGTGATGGGCTTTTCTTATATGTTGGGTTTTTCCCTATGAAGAATTACCCCTCTGTGTAATCATCAAAAAAGAAACGTTTGCTTAACCAGTTACGTGTATGGGTATATACATATGTGTGCATTGAATTTTATAATATAAAGTAAAATGATAAAAATGTGGACGGAGCTATGACTGAGCTGTCTGCATGTTTGTGTAAGGTGGATAAAATTTTGTGGACTTTTGGCGATCTGGATTTTTTTTTTTTTTTTTTTTTTTTTTTTTTCCTGTTCTCGTTAACTGAAGTGTGGGAAAGAGCTATAATCGAGAGGCCTACACGTTTACTTAAATTATTCTTAAGTACATTCCTTTTCTGTTCCCTTTCGCTTGGACTGATTTTTTCTTTGTCCTCTGGGTGGCCTCACTTGCTGTTGTTCATTTGTTGGCAGTTTGGCCTTTTCCACTTCGCTTTGTGTTGTGTAAACATGCCAGGTTTGTCCGTGCGCTTTGCAGTTCGCAGAGCAGTTGGGCAGTGTGGCCAGGAAATGCAAATGGCACGTGACAAGTGGCAAGTCACAAGCGGTAAATCACAACTGGCATGTCACAAATGGGACTTTTTCCTGCCCTATTTGCCGTTTCCAACTGTCGCAATCGGTTTGTCACCATATGTTTGCTGAATGCTTATCCGTTTCGCGCAAGCGGTATGAAGTTCCCCTGGCGCATTTTCGCATCGCTATTGGCAGTTGGTACAAAAGTATGAGTAACTCGTACAACCTACGTTAGCCTACGAGCATATATATATGGAAATATATTTGCGTAAGCCCTGAATGTAATGCGGCACGTACAATAACACATACAATGCTTTGGTACGCTCTCTTATTTCGCTTATTTTGCTTTTAGGTACTTTTGAAGATAAAAAAACAAAAATTATTGCTTGTTCATATTTTTTTTTTGCTTTTCTTTGTTTTTTTTTTGGCTTTTTTGGCTTTTTTGGCTTGATTTAACGTTATGTTCAGGCAATTTTTTTTTTTTTTTTTTTTTTTTTCCTATATTTTTTTTGGAAATATAATTTTTTTTTTTCTCATATCACCTTTGGAAAAAAAAAAGGCAGGAACTTTTTTTCATCATTAAGACGACGATGCGCTGACTCGTACAGGTTGGGAAAATGGAAAAAAAGCGAAAAAAACGGGAAACCAAAGAAAGGAAAAAAATGAAAGAAAATGGGCAACTGAAAAAAGGGGGGGTGTAACGCCGGCTGGACCAAAAAGAGCGGTAAAGAACTGTGGATTGGACCAAATGTTGTTAAAAAAACTACGGAACTGAACCAAAGGAAGGGGGAAATGGAAAAGGCATACCTAGGTTTTATACAGCCAACCCTGAAGTTTAAGCCAAAAGGAAAACAAAATTGCCAGAGGCCTAATTAGGCTTCATCTTATATTTTCCGTCATCCTTACGTGTTGTCATAACAAAAAAAGGAAAATAAAAATACGAATGAACTGAACAGGTGATACACCTTTGTCATATTATATAGGGGGTATGCATATTGAAGCAACATATTTTTTACGCGCATATATTTATGCTAAGCATGCCGCTGACGGGCTTAGACCCCCTATTTTTTCCCATAATTGCCTCATCCTCGACAAAAAAAATTATGACATACAGAAAAAACACTTGGCGAAGTGCCAATTTAGGGATTAAAAGAGGAAGAAAAGCGAAAGAGGGGAAAACAAACTGAGTATAAAACAAAACGAATAAACTAATAAAACAACACAGGTTCCTTTTTTTTGTTTTTTTTTTGTTTTTTTTTTTTTTTTGCTGTGCCGTGCAAAGGAAAAGCTTCAAAAAAATATATTTTGCATAACGTTCCCATATAAGTATAGAAGAAAAGCACGTCAAAAAAAAAAAAAAAAAAAAAAAAAAATACAACCAGCGTTCGAAGTAGAACGAAATTTATATGAACACATTGCGAATTAGGAAAAAGTTAAAAGAACAGTTCCAAACTGTACGCAAGTACATTACAATAAGTACCAATTTAGTAGCAACAGAACAACATTTTGTGAAGTTGCTGTTTTCCCCCCCCCCGCGGCAAGCATCACCAAAAAGGGGGTTGTGCTATATTTTTAACCGACCGGTAGCTTCCTACGTTGTTTGCGCGTATGCCTTCTCCAAGCTACGTGATTTTTTCACCCAAAGATTGACAAAAAAGGGGGAAATAAATAAAATCAGCGAACAAGTGTTGGCTGCACAACCCTGAAATGTTTCTATAAAGGCGTTTTTCCACCTGCACTTTGTCCCCTCTTGCGTATATGTGTCCAGGAAAGAAAAGGAGGAGGTTTTCGTCTTCACATCGCCGGGAACTTTAATGTTATGCCCCCACGAACACGTTTACGTAACGGAGTGCCCAACTGCGAACTGCGAACGCTTTGTGGAAATTTTATTAAAAATACAAGAACAAACAAAAGAGAGAGGAAGGCCATGATATAGTTTAGCGATCACATAGAATAGAGAAGGGGGGAGGAACATTTTTAGGAGTATTTTTTTCTAACCAAAAAAAAAAGAAACGTTAACGCGTGCCACTATAGTACGATGACATAGACCCAAAGTGGGCAACGCCGTGGAAGAGGAGCAAAAAAAAAAGAAAACGAACAATAGAAAGAACGAACGCATAGAGCATCCCCGTGCATTTCGCGCCGCACAATACTTGCTGGTAACGCGAAGTGCGTATGTATATAGCCGCCCCCCTCTAGCACAATGAAGCTGGACATCTCGTGCTTTTGCTTCCTGTCGAAAAATGAGTACCGAGTACTGACGGCGATAGAAATGGGCATGCGGAACCATGAGTACCTGCCCGTGTCGTTAATAGCAAGCATAGCGAATTTGAGAAAGGAAGGCATAACCAGTGTGTTGAAGAAGTTGCTCAAGAACAAGTTGATCAGTCATGAAAATAAAAAGTACGATGGGTACAAGCTAACCTATTTAGGGTATGACTTCCTAGCCCTAAGAGCATTTATAAATAGGGGAACCCTAAAAAGTGTGGGTAACCAAATAGGAGTTGGGAAAGAATCAGACATTTACATATGTAAAGATACCAGCGGAAATTTATTGTGTTTAAAAATACACAGGCTAGGAAGAATATCATTTAGAACCATTAAAAATAATAGAGATTATTATGGGAAAAAAAAATTTCGGAATTGGCTGTACTTGTCCAAAATAGCTGCCACGAAGGAATATGCTTACTTAAAAGCTTTGCATGAACATAACTTCCCTGTTCCAAAACCCTATGACCTAAACAGACACATGATCCTCATGTCGTATGTAAATGGGTACCCCCTATCACATGTAAAAATCAGCAACCCCTTTAAAATAATCGACGTTTTAATAAACACTATTATTAAATTTGCCAAGGCAAATATAATTCATGGGGACTTTAATGAATTTAATATTCTGATTGATGATGATGAGAAGATAACTGTTATTGATTTTCCTCAAATTGTTTCTCTCCAGCATGCGAATGCGAAGTTGTACTTCGATCGAGATGTCAGAGGTGTAGTTAATCACTTTTATAAAAAGTACAAAATAAAAATTGAGGACTACCCCGTTTATGAGGATGTCATTTTGCTTAGTAATGACAAAATTATGGTGGACGATAATTTGATTTCCAGCTGTGATGAGCATGCCTTGATGGACGTCCTGCAGAATGATGGGTCTGACTCGGTCTGCGACTGCCCCGAGCAGTTCAACGGTAGCGATGCAAGTGGCCAAAGTGACCAAGGTGATGAAATGGGCGAAGTGGCCGAAATGGGCCAAATGGACCAAATGGAAGACATGGACGGAAGTGACAAAAGTGATGAAAGCCATGGTAGTGGAGAAAGGCACCCCTGTGAAGAAAACCGCCCAAGCACCGTTAGCGAGAGCACTCAGGGGGAAACCCCCCGCAGCATGGGAACCCAGGGGGAGCAGGACCCCTTATCATCTGAGGGGAAATACAAAGACGCCTATGAGAGCAACGCGGAAAGAGAAAAGTCAAGTGACAGGCTCGAGAAAAGGCTGGACGCATTTGATGACAATGGCATGGAGAGTGCAGAAGGGGTAGTAGGGCATGAGCGGGAAAATAAGACCGAAGAGGAGGAGACCAGAAGCAGGGGGGGTAGTAGCCCCTTGAAGGATGAAGAAGCGCCTACAAATGGCAAGTGCAGTCTTACGGAGGAGAACACCCAGGATGAGGGGGAGAATTGTCATGATGATCCACCTGTTCGCTGTGAGAAACAGACGGGAGGCCAAATCGTATCGAGCGAAGGCAACGATCAGGTGGATGATGACGCTTCAGAAAAGAGCGCGGAGCAGGTGGACCGCGACAACGACATCAACAGTGAAGCGAGTAGTGAAGAAGAAAGCGAATTGACGACATACTCGAGCTGTCAATCGGAGGGATCCATGTCCGCTAACTCCACCAAGAAGCTGTCGGAAACGTGGCAGCCCCATATAAAAAAGTACACCAAGGAATACGCGAAGAGCAAGCTAAAGTACATGTACAGGAAAAAAAAAAATAAGGAAAAGTACAAGGAAAATTTAAAAACGAAAAATAAAAAAAAATTGATGGAAAAGATTAAAAATTATGTGTAACTAAAAATGGGGTGAAAAAAAAAAAAAAAAAAGGGAAAGTAACCCCAATTTTAATCTTTTAAAACTGTCCAACCCTTTTCCCTCTGTTGTGTTATGAGCACAGCAGCGCTACGCGTACGCAAAGAATGTGTACCATTGTGCGCAAATTATCTGTTTTATTCAGTCCTTTTTTGTAACATCCCTTTTTCTTGTTTTGTCAGATTATTTTTATTTAAAAAAAATAACTAAACGTTTTTATATATATATTTGTGTGTAAAAAAGGCTAAATGATGCCCTCTTCAAAAAAAAAAAAAAAAATGAGACGTGAAAAATGTGCTATTCTTCATTGTTTAGCCCATTCTTCTTAAATTTTAACACGTCGGTGGAGGATAATAAGTGGAGTTGGTATTCTCCATTTGAGGTGTTTCCTTTCGAGAGGGAAAAGGAATTACGACATCACCTTAGTTTTGCGTGTGCAGGGAGACAGATGTTGGGAAAAAAAAAAAAAAAAAAGTTGTCACTCTCGCTTGTTAGGAGGCGTGCGCAAATCATCGCTGACGCGATTATGCGGGCATAAAAAGGGAAGAAAAATTCGCACCATATATAGGTTCATCTCTACGATGGCGCCGGCAACGGTGTGCCTTGGTTGCAGACCCCTTAGCCGTAAAAGCTGTACACGTAATCGAGGAAGGCCGTAACCTCATTCTCGTCGTTCACATAATTCATGTGCGTTATATGCATGTCTGGGCGAACAAAAATGTACATGGCTGATCTGGACCTGCACAAATCAGTTGGAACGCAGGGCCCACCTAGCTTGATGTTTAGCTGTCTTTGGAAGTCGCTCATGAAGTCGTAGAGGATGGTTTGTTTGCCCAGGTTGTTGTTGGCCCTTATTTTGGTAAGAAGGACACTCATTGGGGAGTCCCTACCCTGGATGGTGGCTCTGTGCATCATCTGGGGGCATACAATAGAAAGGATGGCCGAGAGAACATTTCCATTCCGGGTGATACTCGCGTTCGTATCGGTGCCCGCACTGACGATAGAGTATCCGCGTGCGAACTCGTTTTTTTGTTCACCGCACACAACCCAGAGGATGCTGAGCGGTGAGCCCCGTCTTCCCCTGGCCATGGCACCGTAAGTCAGTCTCGCAATTTTCATGAGCTTGTTAAAGGCGTCCGCATCGTGGTTGGAGTAACCGCGATTGGAGTATGCGCTGTGGGAGCTTCCTGCCCCCCCTTTGGAGGAAAAGGGGATCATAATATCGGGGCAGCTCCCTGGGAGGCCCATTTTGCAAGCACAAATTCGGGAGGGGTTCATTTGGCATATGCACAAAATTAAGGTATGTGCATGTCCCCCTAGGTAGTCATACAGCCGAACGGTGTTATTTTGCTGATAGCTGTTACTGTACAAGGTAACACATCTGAGGACGCAGTTCCTTGGTCGATCTGCACACATGAAGTTCCTTCTTGTCAGTTGAGCACAAGTGTGTACAAGGCCTACTCTGTAGTAGTCGCTCTGTAACATAAACGTCTTTTTGTAAACCCGGTTCAAAATGTTGCAGGAGGAAGTGAACCTCCTGATGGTCCTGGCACAGAAATTCAGGAAAAACGAAAAATAGCAATTTGCTATATTGTTTAAAAAAAAAAAAAAATTAATCATTTCACTACTCCATGTTAAGACCTTCTGAGAAATGTATTGTCTCTCCTTCTGGTATGCCTCCAGCAGGATGGGCGATGAATTGTAATCAATAAGATACTTTAATCTCCATCCAAGGGTGTATACATCATGAACGGTTAGATTAATGCTTACGCTAAACATGGGGTTGTACAAACAGTTGGACTCCCCTGCTAGGATGATCCCCTGTTTGTAAAACTCTTGGCACATTTGGTCCCTGTGAATTCCTGTCTTCAAATTATATATATAAAATATTTTTACACTTGGAAAAATTTTTTCAATCAAGTGGATGACTTCCATGTGATTCAATTTGTTTGTCTCTTTCATTCGACATAACACTTCCTCACGTGGGTGTTTGTTTGCTCTCCTGCATATGGTCAAGTGCCAGTTGTACCCTCCCCTGCGTATGCTAAGCGCTGAATTGCTGGGGGCGCTGCGCCCTGAGTTGTTGCTCACTGCGTCGGAGAACACGTTCGCGTTATGGTCAGTCGCATCACCGCTCGAGTGATCGTTCGTGATGTGCCGCTTCCTTTTCGGTGGAGTTCCATTCGTGGAAACCACTTCAGGGCCGTCTTCGCAGGTACTTCCAGACAGTTCCTCACCTTGTACAATTCCCCCCCTGACTTGTCCATTCGCACATTTATTTTCCTCTCCTTTGGGGAAAGCATCCCCGTCGTTTGTATTCTCTCCCACACCACTGTCGTCGAGTTGTTTCTTTCTTTCAGTGCTATCACTTTTCTGTGGGCCCTCTTCGCACCCCGCAGCATTGGAGTGGCGTCCCCATTCAGATTCATCTGTCCCCTCAATTTTATTCTCATCATTGGGCTCGAAGGGATGCACCCTGTCCATATCTGCCACGTGGCTTTCCCTCCATGTGTCCCCATCAGTATTAGACCGATCCTGATGCCCCTTAAAGGGGTGCCCCTCAGATGCTCCATTTTTGTCCCACCCCGAGGGGTCCTCTTGAGAGGACACTTGTTCTGACAAGAACGAGTTGTGAGAAACCACGTGTGGAGTGCTCGCGCTGGATTGGTTGTTCCCTCGTTCGGTGTGACAATTTTGAGGTACCCTTAAGGATAGACACTCTGATGAGCCACTAGAGGGGGATCTAATCGAGTCAATTCCATTCTCGCTTAGTTTATCTGCATACCCACCACGTGGTTTAATTAAATTGGGTGTGCCTTCATGTGGGAGGGGTGCAGTAGGGTCGTGACCTAACCTCTGCGAGTTGGCAAACGCCGCTTCTTCTTCCTGCTTGTGGGGGTCACGAGGATATTTTTCCATGGGGGTCTGCACAGGTTCATCTTGCGCGGCTCCACATGAACTTGTTTTTGATTCCTTTTGCGACCCCCCCTCTGCGGTGGCGCCATTTCCCCAATTGTCCGAGTCTTCATTTCGCCATGGATCGGTCCCCCTCCTTCTGCCGCTGGGGCGAGGAGCCTCCTTGGCAGTTCTCCCAGTGAGGCCATTTCGCAGTACACACGGTTGGTCCAGTGCGCCCCGCTCGTCTGTGGGTTGCTCCCTAAACGAACAAAACACTCTCCCAACAGTGTGCTCCCATTTAAGAGAAGAACCACCATGGGTGAGGTCCCCTTTGACGGTGTACTCGTCCTTGGTTCGTTCAATTACGTGCGCAAATGCCTCGTCATTGCAGAAAAAATTTTGCTTGTAAATATTTCGCATATCAGTGAGAATGGGGAAGCATGTGGCTAAGCCATGCTCCGACTGAACCAGGGTCAAATTGTAGTGACTCATATTTATGTGCCATTTGGCGCAGACATCAACAGATATGTATTCGATTGGCTGGCTTGTCTTCTCTTCCATTTTTATGTTTGCCAGTTTTCTGATTGATGATTTTCTCCCATCCACGCCAACTATGTATTTGCTCCTAATTGAGCAGTACGAGGGTTTTTCTGGTCGTTCCTCACTTGGGTGGGTATCTGTCGTTCGTGAAGCCGCCGTTGGTGAGACCCTCGTTGGTGAGACCCTCGTTGGTGCATCCCTTATGGGTTTGTCCCCTGATGAGTTGTCGTGTGCATTTTTCTCCACCGCGCCATTATTGTCCCCTTCTTGCCTCCCCCCAAAAAAACCTTTTCTCCACGGTCTTTTTCCCACTATGGGATGAACAGTACTGTGTATTCCACTGTCGGTTTTTTTATTATCATGGGGCACGTCTATATAGTTACCTGCGTGGTGTGTTGTCTCCCGTTTGAGGTCCTGTACCAACCGCACATGCACCGTAGGAGTAGCCCTCCTATGACCCTCAGTAGGAAGTCTGGTTAGGGGGGACCTCGAGGAACCTTGAAAGAAGCCATTTTCGAAGGTGCTATTCGTAGAGTGATCGCCATACATAGGGGTCGAAGAGTTCGAGTCCGTATCGCTAGATGAGCTATGAAATGTGTATCTGTCCAACGAATCTTCTATGTCTGTCTGTACGCAATTTGTGTAATTTTCGCTGCCGCCACTGCTTCGTCCGTTTCTGCCGCTACTTCTGCTGTGTGGACTTCCCCTCCGAGTTATTATTTTTTTCCCCTTCTTTTCCCCACCCATTGTGCCGCTGGCTTTTTCTTGCCTCCTCTTAAGGAGGGAGGGCAGGGTGTACATCTTTTTCACGTCGCTCCAGCTTCCGCTTTTATTTCTTCTTCTCCCCTTCCCATGTTGCGTTCCCCGTTGATGGTTCAAGTATGCGTGCACATCAGCAGCTCCTTTATTTTTACGGTACCTGTTTCCCCTTTTGCACGTGGAGAGACTCTTCTGCCTGAGCCCCCACAGGATGGTGTTATCCTGCACCGCATGAGAATTGATGGAAGTCAATTTTCTTCGCAGGATATTATTCAGCGTTGTCTTGTTTATACTTAACATGTACGATGTGGATCCATTGAAATTCTGAAAGAACGTTTTGTCCGTTTGATTTATTAATTTGTTTCCAGAATAGAAACTAACTCCTGTCAATTTTAAGCTTCTGTTTCGTACCTCTGAGAGGATATTTAAATCATGAAAAATTTCCAACGTTCTTGGGTAGAGTAAATAATGCTCACTTATGTCTTCTGCGTTTATTTCTGTTTTGTTTTTGTAGCATGAGTTTATCACCAAGTGGTTTACATTTTTTCGTGCAAGGTCGAGAGAGAGAAGAAGGCCCCCTGTGTTTGCCCCCACAATGAGCACGTCGGTTTGATGTTCCTCTTCCGGGGGATCCTTTTTTCTGAAGTGTCCATTCATTGGCCCGCTCATCGTTGAGCTAGTTTGGAGTGGAAATAGGACAAAGCGTGGTTTCACCTACAATGTATGACAATGCTTATATACACAAGTGAGGGAAATGCTGATGGATGTAATACTCCCCACATATTGAGCAAGGCCGGCGTGGTGCAAGCAAGACCATCACTGTAAACCTCGCCCGTGTGAGTCTACCCCTTTTCATATGTGTCTGCCAATTTTTACAAACTCTAAATTTGTGCGGGAGGGGCACAAGATCAAGTGGTCAAAAAAAAATGCGAATGAGTAAAAACTTGTGTGTGCATATATGTTTATCATCCCCCCCACCCGCATTCACATATAAAATACATGAAATGGCTTCTTTCTTATGAGCTGCGGGACAACATCATGTGGAAGTGAAGAGACGCAGAGGAGTATGAAAGGAAAAAAAAAAAATTGCTACATTGACAAATGGAAGGTGTAAAAAAGAAAATAAAATAATACGGAAGCCTTACTAAAGTGTCAACAACCTTGTTGAAAAAAAAAAAAAAAAAACAACAAAAAAAAAAAATCGTTGCTGCGTTTCGTTATGTCTACCCTACCTTGCACACAACTGCACCTATGAGTGGTGTTCCGGAAGTTAACAAACAGACATAAGAGGCGATGTCGCAAATAAGTAATTATTGATCACCCGGTATAGGAGTCACTACATTAACTTTTACGAACAAATCGAGCAGGCGCTCACTTGGACAGCTTATTGAATGGCAGTTTTTATGTACATATGTCTCACTGTCAGGGAGGCTTCTTAACAGTGCGGCGCGTGATGAGCATGAATCTTTCAAGCTCACTTTTCCGTCACACCATCGCGCCTCCGTTACTCCATTTTTGGCCATAAGGTGACTGGAATGGTACATCCCCACGCACCGCTGCAGCACACATGTAAATATTCTGACGTTTCACCATTTCGCAAGTGTAGTATAGCGGCACTACAGTGTGGTGGGCAATTCGATTCGTATGTTAGTCCGTGCCAATTCGTTATGCATTACGGCCCCCCTTGGACTCCCACCTTTGTGCCCCCATGGAGAGGGTGAAGAAGAAAACATCGTCCACAGGGTGGGTGTACATCATTTTACTGGAATGACATTGCGGTGAAGATAAACTTGTGTGGTTATTCGTGGGAACACCGTTTAGTGGGGGAGGTTCACACATAGGTGCAGCTGCAACTGCAAGGTAGTCAATACAATGAGCTACTCCAGTACATGCGTTGTTATTCCCAGGGGTGTGTACACCCCGCCCCAGCATACACCCGCATAAACCAACCCTCTGCCCAGTGCTTGTTGTCGTTTTGCCGCCGCCGGCTAGTCCCTTTTCAGACGTGTCATCATTAAAAATGAGGAACTTCATTGTGACGGAGGTTAATGTGAGAAGAGTATTTTTTTTTTTTGTTTTTTCGTGCCCAAATTGTGCCTTAGTCACAAGCGAGAAACCAGGAAGAACGTTACACCTTCGATGCGATTGGGGTGGTGCACTTTTCTGAATGGCGTCCTGCGAAGGAACGAAATGCTGCTCGTGGGTTACACCGTTGTGAAGTTGTATGCGCTATATCAGCAGAGAAAAAAAAAAAAAAAAAAAAAAATTATACCTCTATTTGTTGTAAAAGCCTAGTATTTTGAATCCGTTTGTTTTTCACTTTACACGTGCAACACACGCGTTTGCCAAAAGTGGAGTTGGATTTGTTCCCCCCCTGCCGCAAGTATTTTTATGAGCAGGTGCCGCTTTGCAGTTGTAGGTACATGTTCAAGCTGCTGGCTGGACATACGCGCGGGAAGTGGGGGGGAAGGGGCATACCTATAATCCCCGTTTGTAAATGCCCAGGCACATGTGCGTCGGAGGGAAGAGTTAAACATACATTAATACACACGCGTACATATGTGTGTATAGCCGTGCAGGGAAGTACCTGGAGCTTATGTGAGAACATCGGACCCAATTATAATGCCGGGTTCTGCTGCCCACAAAATAAAGAATGCCTGCACTAAAGTAGTAAAAGTGTTATTTTTGTATTGGCTCGTTTTTGTGAAGAAGCAGAAGGTTCAAAACATGGTACACTCGCTAGGGATGACAAGGAAAAAAAATTGTATGCAGATCGGGTATCCGCCCGGTGGTGGGAATTACATTTCCCCATGTGCATCGTCAAATTTTTCTTCACACCGAAGGGTGCCCTTTAATTGTCTTTATCGGGACTGCTCCAAAGCGAAGGCGCACAATCCATTCGGAGGCCTCATCTCAGGCCATCCAGTTAAGAAGCTAAAAAAAATAATGCGGGGAAAGGACCCCAAATCCGTCTCACGTAATTTTTATATTTATAATTTTCAGTGTCGGGAACAATCAGTGGGAAAAATATGCCCCCTATGGACAAAGACAAAATGGAAAAGCGCAAGTTGCATGAACAGGTTAGGCAAAATTCACATGGTTGGGGAGAATGACGAGGAGATGTTTAACCGGATAAACAACAATGTGATGAGGAGGTCATTAGGAGAGGAGGGCCGCATGTACGACAGCGTGTATGGAAGCATGTATGGCAGCAATGACAATGTGTTCGGAGAAAAGTACGAAAGAAATGGCCTCCTCGAAATTGTAAATAACCAGACGGAAGTACCCATTGATCTGGCCCATTTCGAAAAAGAAGTGAGGAAACTTATACATATAATGCGATTTGAAGATTTTCAGCTGAATATATCGTTTGTGAGTTTAAAGGAGATGAATGAGGTAAACAGCACGCACAGAGGAAAGAATGAACCCACGGATGTCATATCTCTTTTGCACTACGTAGAAAATGGGGAGGGCGCTTCTCCTAATTGTGAGTCAGCAGGTGCAGATATACCTGGTGGGAGTTGTTTGAGGTCTGGTGATATTTATTTGTGCCCTGCGTATATAAACAAGGAGTGTGTAGTTGCCCGGGTTAAGTACGAGAAGGGGTTGTTGGGGGATGGAAGTAGTGGTAGTGCGTCTACACTGGACAACCACGACGAGAAGGAGAGCGCCCAGGAGGAGCTGACCCCCCGAGGTGTGAACAAATTGTTTAGAACCCTTTTCTGCGTCCAGCAGCGGTTACCATTGTACGTTCTGCACGGATTAATACACTTAACAAACAAGGATCATGTAAATAATGTGAAGGAGTACAATGAATTTATGCACATAGAGGAAGACATGCTCGGCAAGTATCTTAAATTTCATGGTTATACGAACACATTTTATGCCCACTATGTTATTGGGCTGGGAACGGATATTCTGAATGTGAATAGGATTTACAAAATTTTGGCCAAAAAAAGTGGAGCGTCTTTCTTGCGGAAGGTTTTGAGTTCGCTTGAGTTACGGGAGTTGGCTCAGGGGCGCCTGGGCAATGACCAGTTGGGTAGCGGTGATAAGGAACGGGATGACGGAGATAATGAAGGGGATCGCGGTTGGGATGGGCGTAAGCACTCCGAGCAGAACCTTACGCACACGCTCACCACAAATTGCGCACTGAAGCTGGCCATCCACGTAAGCAAAAAGTTCGCAGCGAAGGAAGCGATCCTGAAATCCATGGGGCGCGGTTTAAGTTCCATTTCCAAGTACGGTATAAGCATGAACGACATAGAAGTAAGAAAGGACAAGTATGGAAAGCCCCTCGTTTTTTTGTATGATCAGGCAAGGAAAATAGCAAACGAAATGGGAATAGTAAATATATTTTTATCTCTAAGTGATGAAAGGATAACTTGCCCAAATCATAATGTTAAAAAGGATGAGGCCACGACGTGCAACTTTTGCACATACCTGATCCATGCACAGGCGCTAGCGGTTGGATCAAACGTGTGACGCCGTGGAATAGAACAAGAGGGCGCGGTACAGAAGGGGAAAACGCGTCTGCATGCGCGGTTAAGAGTTTTAAGTTAAGTCCTATTCAGTAACGTTAAAGATGGGCCTACCGATTTTTACACACATTTGCGTGTACTACCACCGCATGCTCTGCAGAGGTGTAGCTGTCGCGGTTGTGTTCCTACACAGGAGCCCACGCATATAGCACAGTGTGCACCACGTGTGTTTGGTCCCTGCGAGGGGAATGTAAACCTGCATCCTCGCACATTGGGAAATATATTTTTTGTTTTTTTTTTTTTTACGAACGGTTTGCATGGAATGATGTTGCAAAACAGGGGGAGGGTAAGAACAGCTTGGTAGAGTGCACCTCAGAGTACATGCTAAATAGTGCACCGTACAGGACGCGGTAGAGGACATGGTGGAGTACGCCCATACCCACTGTGTGTGCGCGATTTGTTCATTTCGTTTATTTGCTCTTACGTGGTACATGTGTATATAATTTTTCTTAACTCTGCGTGATGCCTTATTTAAGCAGTTTAAACAGAGGTTTGGGTATGGCTTAAGGGAACTATATGCGGGCTTGCCCATAGGGCTGCGTACGCCTGTACACGTGTGTGTAGGCGCATATGTGCGCACTCGCGTGGACGTTCTGTTCGCCCCCTACAACAGGTAGAAAGAACAGGGTGGCAAGGACAAATAAAAAATTAAAGAGCTAAAAAAAAAAACGAAGTGTGTGTCACAAAAAAAAAAAGGGGGAACAAAAATCCGCGATCATGTTCGTGTAAGGAATTGAAGAAAAAAAAAAAAAAAGTTGCAACAAACCTTGGCAACCAATGGAAAGAAACAAGTTAACACAGAAAAAAAAAGAAGAAAAACAAAATTTAACCGATTAACCAATTAATCAATTGATTAAACACACTAACCAAGTCACGCTGAAGGGTTTTTGTAACTAAAAAAAAAAAAACAAACTTGATAAAAATGAAGAAAAGAAAAAAAATGTTAACGAGAGCAAGGCAATGTGACGTGTCGCGGCGTAACGTAATAATTTTACTCACATTCGAGTCATGGCAGAACGAGAGAAAAAAGCTTTAACCATAACACAAACGACAAAAGAACAAACGTAAAACGTATACATGCAATATTATATACATGTTACACGTGCACCTCGTACAGGTCAGTGTTAGAAACTTGTAATTACTGCCCTCGATCTGTTTCTTTTATGAACAGAAAAATGCAACTTTTACCCACAAGATACATCACATCTACAATTTTTTTTTTTTTTTCATATTTTAATATTTCACTAAAGATAAATGTTGAACTGAAGAGGGAAAAAAAAGTTGCAAAGACGTGTTTTTTTTTTTT